TTCTTGATATTGTTCTGTTTCTTGTTCTTGTTTTTTTTGTGGTTCTTGTTCTTGTTCTCCGTTTTGTTTTCCATCTTGTCCTCCTTGTTCTCATTGTTCTCCTTGTTCTATTCGTTCTTGTTCTTTGTCTTCTTCTTCTTCTTCTTCTTCTTCTTTTCCTTCTTCTTCTTCTTCTCCTTCCCCTTCTTCTTGTTGTTCTTCTTGTTGCTGTTCTTGTTTAGGGTTGTTTTTGCATGTTTTTGCAAGGTCTGTGTCGCATAAGCCGGGACTGTCTATCACACCGGGGGGGACATTATGGACAATATTTCAAAAACCAAATGCAAAGGAAAATTGCCGCTCGTTTAGTCGAATTGCCACTTGCTCAAACAGCCACTTGCAGCCACTTGCTCAGGCAGCCACTTGCAGCCACTTGCAGCCATTTGCTCAGGCGGCCACTTGCAGCCACCTGCAGCCACTTGCAGCCACTTGCAGCCACTTGCCAAAGCAGCCACTTGGCAGACACTTGCAGCCACTTGCAGCCACTTGGCAGACACTTGACAAAGCAGCCACTTGGCAGCCCCTTGCAGCCACTTGCAGCCACTTGCAGCCACTTGCAGCCACTTGGCAGCCACGTGCTCAAGCAGCCACTTGGCAGCCACTTGGCGGCAGCCACTTGCAGCCACTCGCAGACACTTGCCCCAAGTGGCTGCAGCAAGTGGCTGCCAAGTGGCCTCTTTTTTGAAAATCCAATTGCGCACCTCTTGCGCCCACAACGCAAACTTATCAACATTAAGCACGTTTTGAATTCATTGTGCGAAAAATTCAGCTGCTGGTCAGCAGCAGGGAACCTTTGCTGAGCAGCAGGTTTCAGTGACAATGTTTTTTAGTGCTGCTGCACAGCAGCAGGGTTCAGCTAGAAGTCTGTTGACATGCAAGTGCCTATCCTAACTTAAGCTGCTGGTCAGCAGAAGGGAACCCTTGCTGAACGGCAAGTTTCAAGGCAGTTGTTGGGCAACTAATGATCTTATGGTTCTGGTTCAATCATGGTATAAGTGGCTGGTGTCACTAACTGTCTGCTGCTGTGCAGCAGCAGGGTTCAGCTAGAATTTTGCTGGCTAGCAACCGTCTAATCTTGTTTAAGCTGCTGATCAGCAGCAGGGAACCCTTGCTGAACAGCAAGTTTCAAGGCAGTTGTTGGCCAACTGATGAGCTTATGGTTCAGGCATGGGATAATTGGCTGGCGCCAGTTAACTTTTTGCTGCTGCGCAGTAGCAAGGTTCAGCTAGAATCTTGCTAGCCAACAGCATCCTTTTGAAACTTGCAGCTTTCCAGCAATGGAAAACTTAGAAGCACCGTTGGCCAACAGCAGCCTTCCTTTTTAGCAACGGTTTCCTGCAGCTGTCGAGCAGCAGAAACTTCAATAGGCAACTAAATCAAAAACATTGAAGCCATTAATGGCCAACAAGAACCTTGCTGTTCAGCAAGGGCCCCCTGTTGCTGACCAGCAGCTTAAACTAGGTTAAATGGTTGCTGGCCAGGAAGATTCTAGCTGAACCCTGCTGCTGTGCTGCAGCAGAAGTTTACTCACACCAGCCAGTTTTATCATGATTAAACCCTAAGTATCTTTACTTGCCCAACAACTGCTTTGAAACTTGCTGTTCAGCAAGGGTTCCCTGCTGCTGACCAGCAGCTTAGGCCAGGATAGACAGTTGCTGGCCAGCAGCTTTTTTAAAGCCCTGCAGCTGTCTAGCAGCAGAAACTTCAATAAGCGCTTAAACCAAAAGCGTTTAAACCATTGCTGGTCAACGAAAACCTTGCTGCTCAGCAAGGGTTCCCTGCTGCTGACCAGCAGCTTAAACAAGATTTGACCCTGTCAGGCTTTGCATCCTTGCTGAACAGCAAGTAACTATCAGCACCCAGCTAAGGATGACAAATGATCTCGGCAAGCATCAGTTCTTACAATAATCATTTCCCTCTTGGTGTATATCATTATAATTAATGTTTCCATCAATGCTTGTTGATGCTTTTCACACGTCGCCACAATGATTTCGATGGAAATCTTCCATATCTATCGCTGTTGTTTTCATGGCTTCCTTTGCAAACTTTCATTTTCTACCATACAATTTGTTAAGATCTATAGGCACTGTTTCCTCCAGTGAGGTTTATCTGATACCGCCCTTCCATGCAACCCTTTCATGTACACTGCCATTGTTTCCATTGATCCCTTTGATGATCTGCAATGTGCACCAGAGAGGCGCCCACTAGGCCTGGTGGCACCTACCCCAGTTTTCCACTTGTTAAAGTTATCACCATGGATTCTATGAGTCCATGAATGGAAGTTCATGATCGTCATCATTTTCCATGGTTCCCCTGTTCCTGCTTAACAGCCAGCAAGAAGTGCACGCCGTTGTGGCGGGAAGCACATTTCGAAGTCAAAATGTACAAAACACCACATGTTCGCGCCACTTTTGGAGGTTCAGATGTCGAAAAAGTGCACGCCGTCGTGGCGCGAAGCACATTTCGAAGTCAAAATGTTAAAAACACCAGGGGTTCGGACCACTTCTGGAGGTTCAGATGTCGCTTCGCTTCGCTTCACTACAATACACTACATTACACTAGACTACACTACACTCCACTACACACTACAATACACTACACTACACTCCACTCCACAACAGTACAACTATAATTACACAACTACATTCCACTACACTCCACTAAACTCCACTACACTAAATTACACTACACTACACTACATTACACTACACTCCACTACACTCCACTACACTACACTACACTACACTACACTACTTTACACTACACTACACTACCTTCCACTACACTTCACTACATTACACTACACTACACTCCACTACAACTACAACTACAGAACTACACTCCACTACACTCCACTACGCTAGAGTACACTACACTACACTACATTACACTACACTCCACTACACTACATTACACTACACTACACTACCTTCCACTACACTTCACTACATTAAACTACACTACACTCCACTACACTACAACTACACCTACGACTACACAACTACACTCCACTACACTCCACTACACGAAATTACACTACACTACACTAGATTACACTACACTACACTACATTCCACTACACTCCACTACACTTTACTACATCACACTACACTACATTACACTGAATGACACTGCACCACAGATAGACAGGTAGACAGATAGACAGATAGATAGACAGATAGACAGGTAGACAGATAGACAGATAGACAGATGAAAGAGAGAGAGAGAGAGATAGATGGATGGATAGGTAGATAGACAGATAGACAGATAGACAGATAGACAGATAGACAGATAGACAGATAGACAGACAGACAGATAGACAGAGAGAGAGAGAGAGAGATAGATAGATAGATAGATTAGATTCGATAGATTAGATTAGATAGATTAGATAGATTAGATAGATTAGATAGATTAGATAGATTAGATAGATAGATAAATAGATAGATAGATGGATAGATAGATAGATAGATAGATAGATAGACAGATAGATAGATAGATAGGTAGGTAGATAGATGGATAGACAGACAGATAGATAGATAGATAGATCGATAGATAGATCGATACATAGAAGATGGATAGGTAGGTAGGTACATAGTCAGAGAAAGAGAGAGAGAAAGAGAGGAGACCTCAAGCACCTTTCGGTCCATCAGTGGATTCGCTCTGCCATCCCTGATTCACAACAACCAATCTCTCCTATAGGTTTCCTATTTTTGAAACTTCCGCCACCGTCTTGTGCGGTACTACCGGTATATTATATGGTATATTATATGGTAGATTATATTTTTATATAGTGTTATATATATATATCTGTATGGGTTTGATTGATATGGGGGTCTTCATAAACATGGGTACCCCAGTAGCTGGACGGTTTTTCATGGGGAATCCTGCTAGAATCAATGATTTGGGAGTACCCCTATTTCAGGAAACCTCTCTCTCTCTCTATATATATAGTTATATACGATATAGACATATTTGCACATCATGTTTAGCCCCGTCACTACTGTACCGCTTACCTTTATTGTTATGTTAAGTATTGTTCCAGAGGCCTGCCATGTCCGAAGCGATTGGGACGAACACCTGGAGATTCATCTTCTCAAAAAACTTCCATGATCGAAATACGTGTGATTACCAAAGCTAAACAAGATCATTCAAAATGATTCAAGATGATCGAAGTACTTTTAATGATTTTCAATATCCCACACATCATTTTGAATCGTAATTATTATTACGATTCAAGATGATGTTTTTGCCAATTGCATCTTGCAGATGGCATTTCTGATGATCAAACAACATCAGTTCTCAGGCATGTCCTCGATGCAAATACCATCTGGCACCCGCATTGGCTCATGATTCATGTTCATCCAAAAATTACAGTAAGAACATAGATGATATATTGGTATGCAAAACGAACACACATTTGTTTGTTTCCATTGATTTGTTTTGGGTGCGTTTTATTTGCCCCTTAGAGTCAATCTGCAAGATCCTGTAGATGAAATAACCATATGTATAGCAAACATTCTGAATATGACAGTAGCAGACATTAAGTTGTGAGGGAAGGGTGCTAAATAGCCATAGTCGCCCTGGTGTCCTTTGGCACACCAGAGACAATCTTAGTTATGGATGCCAGGTGTTGATTTAAGGAACTACTCATTCCAGCAATGGATACAGATTGTATCCTATACACCCTGTAATCTATGTATGTATATATATATATATATGTGATTGACAGGCTTGACAGGAAACAACTGCAGGAACACCGCCCAGGGAAAGTGTGCTGTCAACTTTCCTTAAATGAATCCATTCACAAAAAAATAATTTCAAAAACACCATTTTTTTTGAGTTTTAGGGTGATTAACCTACGATTTACATCTCTCTACTGTATATTAATTGGGGATTATCATGGAATATCACAATCAGCGGAGAATCCAACCATTCACCAACCATTCACCAACCATTCTTGACCACTTGACTCGCGACGTTCCTTGATGGCCACCTTGATTCTGGACAGCGACGAGGAAGACGTGGTGATCATTGCTGAGCGGTTTCTTCCGCCAGCGAGACTTCGGACGAACGGAAGTGGTGGATGACATGGGTCCGGTAGGGTTTTAGTGATGTAAGTTGTGGATACCATGACGTACCAAGATTGGTCATGAGTCATAGATTAACATAGATTAATAATGGTTGTAGATTAGCCACTATCACTAACCACTAGTCCAGAAGTTTTGGTCTTTACTTCATGGTAATCTAGTGATGCTAGTTATAGATAACTACCCAAGAAACGGATGAATGGGCACTTGGGCCCTAGAAATTTCCAATGTTTTTTAATAGATAAACCATAAGTAGCATTTGATATTTCATGGTCCATATTGTTATATTCCACTTATCTTCCACTTAAATACCAATCAACAAAAAGACCTCCGGATGGCATCCGTGGGCACCAAGGAAAGCGTCGAAGGCTAAGAGGAAACGGCGGAAGGAGAAAAGGACCGCAGAGTCTCTATGCGTGGCACATGGGCGGCTTGGGGTGGTGAAAGTGGAGCTATTTTTTTGGGCAAATGTTCGGTGGAAGGCAGCAAAAGCCAACGAACCTGGCGATTGAACAAGCAAAGACCTTGGGTATTCCGGTATTCCCCGTTTTTCAGACTGTGACAGACTCCCCCTTGACTTTTTCGTCGCTAGGAAAGAACGCAAGCGGCTGAAGAAGAAAGAGCACTCAGAGCGGCAGACTCAGGCAGCTTGCGACCTGGGCCAGCGGAGATGGGCAATCTTTCAGCAGGACATGTTGGTTGCTTCATGTTGGTGAATGACGGTCAATTGTATGGAAAAAAGGGGACACCCACTTGGATCGATCAAACTTTTTTTTTGGCATATCTAAGGTCAATGATGGGTAAAGCAATGACCGATTGTGGTGGGCAGCTTATGATCTCCAGCAAAAACCATGAAGGTACGGTTCCACTAAGCAGCAATTAAGTAATGGTGTTTGGAAACCGGTTGGGTTTGCGAAAATCCTACCAGCTGTATTGAGGTCTTTCCTGTCTCTGGTCGGTCATATCTATGCTACACGCAAGTTCTTCTGTATACAAAAGTATGATTGATTATTAAATGTAGCGCATACATACATGCATTATTTTATGTATACACAAATACGTATGTCTTTATATACATAGAATATCATAGAACTGGTCAAACTTGGATACTTACACCCCCAGAATTTAGGAATGGTGAATCCTAACACTGACTAAGCCTTGTAGTTGTTTTGATTATATAATGTTTTTCCATACATAGCTGTACAGAGCTCGTGGCATCCGCTTCCCCAGGCGTCCCAGACGCGCGCAACTGCTCGCAGCACGCCCAAGGCTGCTTCGCAAGAAGTGCACATCGCCGCTCAGCGAAACCACCACGAAACCGAAAAAGAAAACAAGTGAGGTATACTGTCTACGAAAAAGAATCAAAATTTATACGCGAAATTGATGATCATCAATTGATTTCCGGGTACCCTATATTCTGTTGAATACTCTTATTTTGCAGTATATTGCAGGTATATACACACATATATAAATATAAATATATATATATAATGCTACATATTTTAGGTTTGTCTCAACATAGGGTACCCTAAATTCCCAATGGTTTATCTTCATGTCTTCATGTTACCTCTCAAAACCACCATTTTTTCGGGTATCCAAATTCTAGACCAACTCTTGATTCAACATGATTGATTTATGATGGATTGTCTGTGCAATTGGTGATTTTGACTTGACATATCATATGTTGACATCGTGCTCCTGCTGGAATTTGAAGGATTGAACCAGAAAAATGTGATTGCTTGGTGATTGCATCTTATAAAACCTCCGGGAGAATGAACACCAGTTGATATGTTTAGGATGGGACATGGTTCCAAAAAGCTCGGACGAGCCATTTTTCGGCAGAAATCTCTCGTGTTCATCTTGTCTTGGTCCAACAACACTCCTTTGTACAGAACAGTCATAGCAAGAGCAAATTCATGCCCTGGAAGATAATTACAGGTCAGCTCCCTTCCAATGCCAAAGAGAAAACGCCGTCCCTAAATTCATTCTGTTGGTTCTACTTTGTTTCTGTTTTGTTGTGTTTTTGTTTTGGCTGGTGGTTTTCATTTCAAGTCCATGATGCGTTGGGTTGAGCGCAAGCAGGCTGAGGCAGACGGGTCCCTACAGGTCCTATTCGCTTTGCAAAAAAAGCCACACCCTTAAAGTGCTCTTGATAGAGATAGTGAATTCCCGGCATCAGCATGGATGCGTTGGCAAATGTGGTATATACCCTTCCATAATGGAAGGTTTCCTAATCGCATAGCGAATGGTTCTCCTGCTCTTGTTTTTATGAGAGAAAACAATGATTCCATAGAGATCGGGCTATATATCTTTGGGCAAACCCATAGGATGTTTTCTTGTTTTCGTCAAGTCTTAGAGTACTTTGCGACACTGTCATGTTAGTACCTACACCTTGCATCCTCGGTATTGAATAGTCTGTTCCCAGCTGTGCTTTCGTACCCCGTTTGGCCTTCTGCCCCTGACAATGCGGATGATCACGGTGATGGTGATGGTGTTTTTCATTACGGTAATAGCCATGATAAATGTGTGTCTTTATAGATTGAGTGACTAGGAGACTGACCATGAAAATGACAAACACAACAGTTCTGGAGGCAAAACTGGTGTTACAAGGCAAGCTTCCCCAGCTATAACATTAGAATAAGATATAATGAAATAAATAAGTATCTATAAGTATGTTTGTAAACCCATTAGTTGGTTTGTAAATCCATTAAAACCCATTGACTATCAATCATTAACTATAGTTATATCATAATGTTAAACGTTTGGCTTTATGGGTTCTATACCATTTTTATAGTTATATCATTAGTTGTACACCCCATACACCCAAACGTTTTCACCGTTCCGATCGTTGGCCTCACCTAGGCGGGAGCCCTAGTGGAATGAATGGAGGAGGAACCAAATTCCGACTACATAGGGGTGATCATCAAAAGTCAAATCTATGAATTATATGAATTATATTATATGAATCACATCTTGATTTTTGATGATGCATTATATATATATTATAATTACAGAATTTGTTGCTAAAATTCCAACTTTTAAAACACAGATCATAACTTTTTTTGTGGGAAACTTCCCGGCAACCGAGGTGCCAGCTGTCGCGTCGCGCAAAAAGCGCCCTGCCGCGGTGGACTGCTGCTTTTTGGCGAAAAAACATGGATGTGGAACTGGGATGCTAGAATCTGAACGAATCTGATGGGTCTTTCTGAAAATGCGGGATTTAACATATTTAACCCCCCAGAAGTTGTGGGAATTTTCATGGAGATGATGATAAAGCTGGGGATTTGGGGATGGCCCATTTACGGGTCCAGAAAGGCGCCCCATGACTTGGCTATGGGTGGCTTTAAAATTGATAGGATTGGTATGGTAAAAATGTCTAGATTTATAGACATACCATTTAAATTTTGGTACAGTTGTCAGATTGTAAAGCTGTGCTTAGATGCGTGGTGGAGGTAGTTGAGTTGTTAGCTGGTCATAACACGCTATACAGCCAGCTACAAGGGGTTACTAACCAATTGACGAAGTTCAGGGCTCATCTAAGTGCATGTTTATGATTCTCTACCCTAGCTAACTTAAATATAACTCCAACAACTAGGGTTTATGACTATGATATATATATATTATTATATATTAATATACATATATATATAGTTAATGGGGGCTATAAGCCAATTTATAACTGGGGGGCATTGTAGGAATCTAGGAAGACTTCGTCATGAGGAACAGATCCATTTTTACGGTCTCAAGCTGCATGTCACGGTGCTCCACTTTAGACTTTGGATAAGTCCAATGACAGATTTATGACAGCCAAAACTGGGTTTTAGTGCGGTAAATCTAATAACAAACCATCCCCAATAGATGTTCAGTTTTAGCATACGTTATACCACTATTTGGGATGATGTAAATTGACCCCCAAATGTTTGGTTACTGGGAGGATTTATTAGTGTGTTCCCCACATTAGAGACATTGTATCTTTATATACAATTACTGTATATAGTATATACATATATTTACAGTATTAATATTGTCTAATCGATATAGCTCTATATTTCTCTCTATATATTTTACACACATTTATACATATATATATATATCTATATCTATATCTATATCTATCTATCTATCTATAAATATATATATACAGAATCCTTGAGAATTGACCCACTAAACATGTAGCTTTCACCACCACCGCCAGGCTACCGCGTGCGCAGCGCGGGCGACTACCCGGCCACCCTTTGCGCCGAGTGCCGTCGACCGCTGGATTCCCTGGGCCCCGATGTGGCGGTGGTCGAGGTGGAACGTCCCTGGTGCCGTGGCTGCAGGATTTTGAGCCCAACAAAATGGGGATTTCACTGGCAAAAATGGGGATTGAGCATGATTTACGCCAGAAAAATGGTGATAAACACACATTGATATCATATCAATGCATATCAATCACAAGAACTGGGGATTCTGTCAATTAACACGGCACAAGGAGACTTGAACCCGCCGTTTCTCGGAGATGGCACTGCCGGCCACATCTTTGGCCGGGTAACTTCCTTGTTGTGCCCAAGTGAATAACAATGAATAACATCATAGTTCTCCAGGATATCATAGTTCTAATCCAGGAACATGTTGCTTGATTAGATGAGCCCGAAAACAGCTATGTTTCAATTCAAGGTGGTACCAAGTACCTCCCCGTATGAATCAACCAGAGATTCGATCCTGGGTTCAACAGAATGTCCAAGGTGGAGTTGTGTTGATCTCCATGACTACATCAGTGATGTCGCCCCAAGATGATTGTAACAGTATGTTACAGTAAGTCCCAGCGTGCGAACTGGTGGATGATCCACCTCATCAAGCCTCTTGATCATATCCTCATTGGATTGGATTGGAGGAGGACGTCAACCTGCTCCTCACCGAAGTGAAGTAGTTAAGACGCCGAAATTGCCAACGCTGAGCCGGAGCTCTTTGCACTGAACAAACCGGAGGGCAAGTTCAAGTCAAGAAAAGTACCACCCATGCAGCTGAAGAAGCAGCAACTGCTCATTCAAACGACCTGTTTTGACGTGGTTCGTGTTCAAGCAAAACTTGCCAGTAGGGAAGAGAACCCTTTAGTTGCGCCTTCCAAGCTTCTCCAGCCCAAACAACTGCCTCTCTGTGTTGTGACAAACAAGTAGCAATCACCTGCCGAAATTGACCTGTTAGATCAGCCGCGCTAGCATCCGCTTTGGCATTGAGCATGCGGCAACGCAAAACATCAAGCCACCCTTCGGGTGGACGCCATCGAGGAACTTTATCATGCGAGGGAATCCAAGCACAAGAAGAGCCATCATATCCTCATTTCAATGGCCCCTTCAGGTACCTCAAACTGAGGTACAGTACCATATCAGGCCATATTTTGTGGGGATATTCCCATATATACATAGGCTGTACATAGACCTTATATATCCTTATATATATATGGATCATATATATATATGGATCATATATATATATATATGTATGTAGGTACCTCCAATTTAGGTACCTGAAATGGCCATTGATCATTTTCGTATGTTTGAACTACATCCTCGATGTTCGATTCTCCCTTTGCAGGTCACCCCAAGAGTCAGATTCCTTTGGATAGGCCGTTGCTGCCACTGAATCCTCGGTAATTAGTGACCTAAAAGGAATCCAGCAGCTGTGTATTCGGGTTGTAGCCCCACATGATTTACTCGTCAACCACCCCATTTTTGAGGGTAACATATATTAAGATATGGTAAACTCCTCATTTTGCTGCTTAAATCCCTGTTTCTTCATGGCTGAAGCAGCATTTTGGATCGTTCAACACCATTTATTGCTGATTGAAACCCTGTCGTTGCTTGAACCTGTCATTCTTGCTCCTTGAATGACCATAAAATCTGCTAGTTGAATCCCAGTCATTGTTGGTTACATTCTTAAATTGCTGCGTAAAATCCTCAAATTTGATGATTCACAGCCCGTCAATCCCCTAGTCGCAGCTAAAATCCACCATCACTTGCTGCTTAGATCCTAAAATGTGCCAGTTACCCTCCGGCAGCTCCATGGCTTGCTGGAAAATCCCCCATTAGTTCGATGATCAACTCCCATCGAACTCAATTTTCGCGGGATTTCCTAGCTTGACATTTTTTCAGACACCAGAGGTTATATTACATTATATATATATATATCAAAATAATGATCCACCAATCAATGATCCTCTAATTGTCCATGAGTCATCCATTCTGGATACTTAAATTATAGTAATATGGACAATTATAGTAGTATACATCTATACAACTATAGTAATATATATATATATATATTATAATAATAATGATAATAATAATAATACCATCTGGTTATTTAACATAGCCATGGAAAATGACCCATTTATAGATGGTTTACCTAGCTATAAAATGGTGATTTTCCATGGCTATGTTAAATAACCAGAGGGTATTATAAATGTTAACTAGCATAACATTTTCCCTGAAATCTCTTCGGCTTCAAGGCTCCAGGAGGCCTGTCTGGTCCACGCGCAGATGCCGTGCCTCACTGCCGCGGGGCTCTTGCGCGCACCGATGCAGCCGCCGCGGCCGGAGGCTGGGCCGGCCATGGCAGGTGGACTTAACATATGTGTATATATACATATATATATATGTATACATATATATATATAGAATATAAATTATTCATTACTATTAAAAACATACAATATCTATTCTATACATCTATATAGGTATATTTAATTATAGTAGTAATACATCTATAGTTACATTATAGTCTATAGTAATTGGCCTTATATCATATTGCTGACCTATGTATTGGCCAAAAATCGGCAATGTTGACGAATAATATGAATAATATCATTATGGCCTTTGCTTTACTTAGTAACATTACAGTCAGCAATATGCTTTAATCTATAGGCATACTCATGTCTCATGGGAATACGGCATATAGTAACCCTCAAAAAGATAGTTTTTATATGTATATATATATGGAAAAATACCATCATTACACGATGTTGTTCATGACCAAATTTTTCCATTTTTGGGTTACACTACAGAATACCGGAGATCGAATGTGGAATATAGGACATATAACCAACCATATGGAGTGTTTGGGCGTATCTGAAAATTGGGTATCTTAAAAACGGACATGATGATAAAATTATAAACCTCAGAATTTTGGTGCCCTATTTTCAGACAATCCCATGTATAGCATTTGGATGTATTTGGATAAGTCATAGCAACACGCTTGACATCGCTGGAATGATGTGCCTTATTTCAGGTTCATTAATATTAATCCACAATGTTTCATAATGATGTGGTAAACCCAATACTAAACCATCCGAAATTGTGATATATGAAATGTGATATGCCCCTGATAGTCAGATGGTGCTAAAACAACCCCCATTAGTTGCTGGGAATGATCTATCACAATTTGGGGGGCAACCCAACTATTTACGGGGAGCTGGGCAACTGGAGTAATGTGAGATCGCGCTAGAATGAGAGAATACTCAAACATCATATGGGATTTAATGATTATAAGATGTTGTAAGTAACCCCCAACAATTAGAAAAGTAATTTACAACTAATTCTTATAGTAGGATGTTGTTTCTCTATCTTTTTCGTGGGTTTGCAGTGACCATTGCAGAGTGGTTGAATCCACACCGCCATACTAGAAGAAAAAGGTATGGGATGCTGTACTGGGATGGGTATTGAGGCGATACCCTCCAGTAAACTAACATAGCTATGGAAAATGACAATGTCTTTGTATATATATATATATATGGGGATGTAGATTATCTGTAGATTTTTCATATTTAACTACTAAAAATTGTAATTTTCCACAGCTATGTTACGTTGCCAGAGGGGTCCACAGTGCCATAAACTATCCCCATCCATGGCTGTTTAATCATCCTGTTTGTTTCCGGGTACCTTTCGGTTTTCAAACGTGGCTGGGAAACCGCGAACTTAATGGAGGTTTATAGCTGGGAGAATTATCTATAAAAGGTATTGCCTTTTTTGGGGAAGACGATGACCCCAGTAGATTTTGGGCTACCGTATTTTTGAACAAGTCCATAAGGGTGAACCTATGAATGCGAGCCGCAGGGTAAGCGGCACCGAGTTTTTGACCCATACTGTATACCTGTCTTGACAATGTGGTTAAGGTGACGTTTATAGACTCCATGGCCAGGAAGGACTGCAGTGATCTGTTGTTTCACCAGAAAACCATAGAACACCTCCTCTTGCAGCATAGCAAGGCTATTTGAAAGACGCGGACCAACTGCAGGTGATCATTTTATAGCCTTGGAGCTCTGACTTTCAATAGCGGCCAAACAGCTATATGAACTTTTCTCGCAGCACAGTTATTCAATAGTCTCATTCATCATCGTTAGCCTATCAACTAAACCCTTCCCCAAACCACTGACATCCAAACATCCATTGATCCCAGAGGCCACCTCCAGTGCCAGCCACGGCGTGTTACGCTCCCTCCCCGCGCCCCCCCGGCGCGTTGCCCCACGGCTCCGCTGCGCCGTGGCGGACCCGGACGCCCGATCGCTGGCGCAAGCGCGGCAGATGGCGACGGCCGCCGCGCTGCGCCTGGTGCGGCGCGCCGCCAGCGATGCGGCTGACGCAGCCAGCGGCCGGCGCCCGGCGCGGCGAACCACGGCACCGGGGTCGCAGCTGTTGGAGGCTGTGCTGGAGGTGCTGCCGCCAGCGAGACATGCACATCGAGAGGAAGTGCCGAAAGGTGCCGGGAATGATGATGATCATGATGATGATGATGATGATGATATTTTTGTTTTCATCATTATGTTTAACAAAACATATTCTGATCATTTATATTCTCTGGTTATTATATTAATTATTCACATTCTTTTCCGTCGTCTATATATTGTAATTGTGTTTTCTGTTACTACTGGTATTATTAAACTTATTAACATTATATTATTATTAATTATGATTATTAAATAATTACCATGGGGCAGAGAAGGGCGGGAGTGAGGGATATGAAGGCTAACCGTTTAACCATCGCAACTTCAACGCCAACAAGAAAATATGTGGATCTGAACGAAGCAATTTCGGCAGTCTGTGCGTCTTTGCATCGGTTGTGGTCAGTCATGGACAGCGGTTTTTGGTCAGTATGGGTCAGTGAAAAAGGTTGAAAAGTAAACGCATTGTCAGGACAGTTTTTGGGGATTTGAGGGTTCACTACGCATTTTGAGCGGATGGCTCACGACTGAGTTTTACTGCACCAGCTCCAAAGGGATTCTGGCTGCTAGTTCAAAGAACAACAACTAGATTCCTCATTGGAACAAAGGATCTTACTTCTCGTGAGATTCACTGCTATGTAGACCTGCGTGGATTCAAACATATTTTTCTAAAATCTTCACATGGGACAAATGTCGCGAGTGGCAAACTGAAACCACTATAGTGCCACTATACATGGTTTTTGCTTCAGCCTACCACAGCTTAGACAGGTCTAGACCCTCCATACTGTTTCGTTTATTTGCAAACCAATTGAAAGGAATCTCTATTTCTATACAGCCTTAATTTATTGTGGCTTCATAACTACTGCTACGACACTCGCGGTTGCTTTTCCCAGCTCAGTGGCTTGTTGCGGCTTGTCGTTCTGCCAGGTGAGCATTGTGCAATTTGCCACGGCAAGCTCTTCAAAAGAACTCGCAAGATTCGGTCCTTGCCCTGCGGATCCATGGCAGATACTTTCGTGGTGGTTTTGGTAGTCGCCAGAGGATGATGTGGTAGACTTCCTCACTGGCACCCATTGCCATCCCCGGTATTATTCCTCTCCCTAACCTTATATATTCCGTTAAGCCATGCTAAGCGTTATTATGAAGTCTTATGTCCCATATAATCCCATACTGTATATTATCCCATGTATTATCCCATATTTATCAAATGATAATATATATTATATATGATATCACGCAAAAATTCCGTATCAGAAACCATCGAGTCGGATCAGCGACACAGAGCAGCGTCCTGAATCAACATCCAAAGGTTCGGATCAGCGTTGCAAAATCAGCGTCAGAGACGATCCTGGATCAACATCGTGCATAAATGATCGGGATGGTCGGGATGGTCGGGGGTAGTCCGGAAGGTTGCCATCTAATTATACCGTCCCGATCCAAGCCATGTAGATTCCAATCCAACGACCCCGATCCGACCCACACGCATATTATCACTAGCACATCATCCATATTATCCCATTATTATCTCATTTTTATTTCATATTATCATATATATATATATATATCCATGTATTATCCCGCCCACATATTATCCCGCATATTATCCCATACCATCCCCTAACCTTCCAGTTACCTTTGGGACAGGTAATCACTTCAGTTACCTATGAGACAGGTAACCAAACATGGTTTCCGGAACCAAGGTTTGATGTAGCGATTGGAACCGTGACAAAACAGGTCGGAACCATGACAAAACGCATTGAAAGCGTGAACATATACCTTGGAACCGTAAGAACATGAGTGGAACTGTGATAAAGCAGTTGCTCCTATTTGTGGTTCCTCGCTGGCAGCCTGGTTCCTGGAAAAACCGTCGCCGAGGCCTAGCTAAATATGGGAAAGGTTACCAGGAAGACTAGGGATCCATACATAATCCCATTATTATCACATGACGCAACCCCAAAAATGATTCAAATATCAGTCTCGCAAGGTCTTATCAATCGGTTATCAGACCCTTATTTGCAGAAATTAATAAAATTGTATTAATCTGCTCATAGCGCAATACTAAGCTCTTATTGTCAGTTTCTACCTGTGCACATGCCTTATTTATCTGGGGGGCGAAGGTCAAGGAGGGGGTGGTCGATGGCTCATGACCCATTATTATCGCACAGGATCCCATTTTTATCCGACATACTATCCATATATTATCCCACATGTTATCCCCCACATGATCCCATATTGTCCATATATAATCCCATGATTATCCCATGATTATCCCGTTCTTCCCCATATTAACCCCACGTCTGTTGCTTGAACTTCTGAGGACATACCTTTCACGACGCCTGCATCCTGCCGTGGCTGTCGAAACGTGCGACCTGCCCGTTGGATCGCAGCGACTTCACCGATTTGCTGAAGCAAAACCAAGGGATTGCAGGGCGGCCTTCAGGGTCCATGAAGATCCCCCAGCTCGATGGAGGTTTACTGAAGGGTAACCAACAATATAAGCGGGATAAGCAAGAATCGACAAGAAATCGTTGGGATAGAACATCAGACTGTCAGACGTTGGGATAGCGTGGTTCCAGCAAGAAAGAACAGAATCGCGAATCCGAATAGGTTGTGGGGCAAAAGAGTAATACCTACGCAACGTCCCCCTTAAAGTGGTTGGTGGTATACCATGCACATCCCAATTTCCATGCCAGGCGCAAAACATCAACAAGAGCTTGCTGGCTCTGGGGGATGTCCGAAATCTCAAGGGAGTCGCCAGGGAGCCGACAACGTGTTGATTAATAGAAGGTTCCCATAGGTTCCCTATATTCAACAACCAAGAGGTAGATTATAGATAAGGAACGATTTGCCACACCGGCCCCTCTATTTTTCCCAAAAGAAGTGATATTGGCCACCGAGTTTATTGAGTTTCTGACAGTGTTTTTGGAAGGAGAAACCGACTGCATTGTTTGACTGCACGTGCCATCAAATACCCTCTGGTAATTTAACATAGCTATGGAAAATCCCCATTTTTAATGGGTAAATCCACTATAAATGGCAATTTTCAATAGCTATTTTGACATAACCAGAGGGTACATTGTGGGTTCCTAAAATGGGGACCCCCAAATCATCCGACATCGTCTCAATCTGGAGACTTGAGAGCAAGTTCATTGGTTTTTTCCATCATTCGAAAGAAAAACAGATGACAGTTTTGCATAGTTTTGCTATGTTCAATGGCAAAGCCAATGGTTTTGTGGCACTGCCAATTTTGAGAAGCAGCAACATATTACATTATGTTGGTTGTATATCCCCAAAATTTGTTGTTTTCAGCACTCATAAACGCAGTGCACAACTTTGACCGAACATGTACAGAGACAGGTAGAAATGGTGCATATCAGCCAAGACTTAGCTCAGAGTTTAACGTAGTTTAACAAAAATCAATCTACAGCCATTATTTATTCCTAATGCTACTACTCATTTTTACTACGATTATGACGCATTAGTACTAACCAAGCATGAATACGACAATTCATGGCATTGCCGGGAGATTCCTCGAAATCAGGACCGGTGACTACATTGGGTCCTCACACATTTGGGAGGTCATTCTTCCATTCCCCTGCAATACTCCCTCAAAAAGATAGGAGTTGGTTAAATCCGAAGCTTCTGCATCTTTTTCAGGATTACAATAATATTTTAAACACTCCTTCCAGAAACCAAGGTCTTTCTTGGGGATTTATTTACGCATACATATTTTGGACTATTTTGGAACTATGAACCATGGGAGGGAGTGTAAGTGTATGGGGGGTTCCTAAAATAGGGGTACCGCAAATCAGCCAAAATTCGACCATTTATTTCGCACTAGAATACTAAAACCATGGTTTTGGGGATCCCCATTTTAGGAAACTCCTATATATGTAAATATGTATATATATGTAACGTATATATGAAGTAGTTGGAATGGGGGATGGGATTACAAGATCAAACGCCCGTGACTTTGAGGCGGTCGATCTGAGTCCTGGACATTTTTCCAGGGGAAGGCTAGGAAAATGATCATCTGTACTTTTTTTGTTGGTGGACTGTACACTTTTATGATGGATTTTCCTAGAATCTATGTTACATATGTATACATATTGTAGTCTACCAGAGGCTAAATTCTATGGCTTTTGGCAGGAGAGTCATCTGCGGTAGCCGCCCACTGAGGTGGTCGCTTCCTTGCAGTCGAAAAGTGGACATGTGAGCTACAGGAGCCATGGCGGGTTCCACATGGTGGGTATAGCCATAGCTTTAAAAAATATCTGGGGATAAAATGAGAAATGTCATGAGAATTATGGGAAGATCAATGATTGGGAGTCCATTGGGAATATCGAGGATAATATGTCTATATATATGTACACATATATATATTATACACATTTAACGGAGTTATAATGTTATTTCGTTCATGGGGATTATGACTATGATAATATCATGTGGAAGATTGCACATATACTTTATCAATCGTAGGATATCATATATAACTAAACCTCAACCCCAATAGATAAAACTCATGTGAAACTTACTGCTGTTTTAGCATGTTTTAATATGATTTGACTTTCTTCTTTTTTGGGGTTGCTATATAGTGGGCAGATGACGGGGGGGGGTATGGTTACGTATGGTTCGGCTACAATCGGACGACCTGACCAGAAAAGATGGGTTTATTGAGAATCATAGAAGAGTCGACATGATCACCCTCATCCTCACCCTCATCCTCACCCTCCTCCTCCTCATCCTCATCCTCATCCTCATCCTCATCCTCATCCTCATCCTCATCATCATCATCATCATAATCATCTTCATCTTCATCTTCATCATCAGCATCAGCATCAGCATTAGTATCAGTATCAGCATTATCATCTTTTTGGAGCTGTTGCCCTTCATGCTTGTAGTTGTGTTGCTTCAAATGGTCAATTTGGTTGGCTGCCTCTCCAATTCTTTCAGGTTGGATCTCCATTTCTGTTCATTCCTGCTGATCTTTATAGGTTTCATCAGTTGATTCCCATGTTTTGGCAGACGGAAGCTGGTCCAAATTGACACTTTTCCGGTCCAGGAATTCGAAGCTGACCATGATGTTGAAGGATGGGCAGCTGTGACGGGCTTTCGGTGCTGTAGTGGTCGAACATGTGTAGCGCCCCCACAAGGGGTAGAGGAACTATAGGCAAGTCTATAATCAGGAATATTATATCCAAACATACATATATATATACATAGATGAAACATGAAAGTTCCTCACAGCAGCAAACTGTTGGGTTTCAATCTCTAGAAACGCGGCTGGTATCACGATTTCTCCTTCCTTGCCCATGGGGACGCAGGGTTCCGGGAACCTTGTCTCCCGATTGTCTCCCTGTTGTTTCTCCATTGTCTCCCACTTCTCTCCCAGTTGTCTCCCACCAGTCTCCTGCTTGGTCCACAGTCCACACTTTGTTTCCCACTTTGTTTCCCATTGTGCTTCGCCTAGTGTCTCCCGCTGTGACTCCCACTTTCCTTGTCTCCCACTATGTCTCTGACTTTGTCTCCCAGCTTGTGTCCCACTTTGTCTTCCAGCTTGTGTCCCACTTTGTCTTCCAGCTTGTGTCCCACTTTGTCTCCCACCTTGTCTTCCACTTTGTCTCCAACATCGCCTCCTGCTTCGTCTCCCATTGTAATTCCCACTTTGTCTCCTACTTAGTCCCCCACTTGTTTCCCACTGTGTCCCTCGCTTTGTCTCAAACTTTCTGTCCCACAGTGAAGCCTACTTTGTCTGTCATTTTGTTTCCACGCTGAATGCTGAGGTTGGAATCTTCACTGCTGTTGGGTTGCAAAGCTGGGTTGATTTATTATATACAAGTATACAGTTTTCCCTCTGGTAGTCAAACGTGGCAATGGAAAACCACCATAAATTACCAATTTAAAATCATTTTAATATAATTTAATAGATTTTAATCCATTTAATTATATAGTTAGATTTTTTTAAAAAGGCATTTCCCAGCTACATCCAGCTCTGGTGTTCTTCAAGGCCATTTCTCGGTTGCGGTCTGCGGTCACCACCAACTCGTGACCTGGGTAAGGAAGGGGAAATGATCCTCAAATGTCATTGAAATGATTGTTGAATCACCAATCAATCACCAATGTTAGTGAAATCACTATTCAAATGCTGAATCAACTTAAATCAGATTCAGCAATTACAGAATCACCAGAGCCACCCTTTACGCAGACTAGACACCAGGTGACTCGACAAGATGAAAAAAAACATATTCTTTGCAAGTGTGTTTTTGAGGTCTTTCAACCCATCGTTGAGATTTGGATTCTCCTTATCCTAGAGACCTTGCAGGACTCGCTGGATGGTGATTCCAAGACCATGATGATCGTTCAGTGCTCGCCGGCGGGAGAACCTAGGATTCCCAAAATCTCAGGATGGATCCAAAAATATCTGGAGATCTTGCTTAATTGCCATCATCAATCAACTGATCAACTGAAACCATGAAATTCTGATCCGAACCACCATAGTAACTACGCTCCGGTAATTTAACATAGCTATTGAAAATGACAAATTTATAGTGGATTTTCCCATTGAAAATGGGGATTTTCCATAGTATTTTGTATGTTTACCATAGTAACTACGACAATTTCAGGATCCGAATCTGGACTGACTTCGGTGTGTTTGGCGAAGCCGGACGGCTTTCGGTTGACCTCGGTTATTCCAAGGAATTCATGGGGTTTTTAACATGTTTAACACGTCTAAACCAACATAAACCGAAGATGTTGAATGGATGTTGGGGTTTTAACACGTTTAATGTTTTTTTTTTAAAAAAAAAACATGTTTAAACCCAGATGTTGGGGTTTTAAAGCAACAACTTAGGGGGTGAACAACGGGCACCATCCAGGGCACATTGTTCCAGGCCCAGAGCAATGTCACCGAGACAACGAGCTCCTTGACCTTCGCTTCCAAGGTGGGCCGTTGGTCGGAACTGTGGGGGGTTCCCCATGCACAACGTTGTGGCGCATGGGGGAGGAAGAAAATCCACTGAATCTTGGAGTTTTTTTTTTTAGAATACGGGATGATGGGAAGAAATGAGAAGATGGGAGAATGACCGAAATGAAAAGTAGGCGGAGATAAGAACACAGTACATGGGGATGATTCAGGATCAAAAAAGGGAGGAGAGATCTCCTTCTGGGAATTCGCCTGCTCACATGGACATCTGATTTTTTTAGGCAAAAAACGGCAGTCCATCTTGAACTACTGAAATCACATCTAAAAAATCACTACCTAGGATGCCCGAGGGTCTTACACCCTCTAAAAAATCATGACCCAGGCAACCAATTACAAAAAACTCAAATAAATGCAAATACAAAAACAATTCTTTAAAGAATCAGGGGTCCGTGTTAGCCACGGATGCCACAAAACATTTGAAACTTGTTATCAATCTTGTAGTTTGTTTGACTCATTTGTGATACAAGCGATGGCCGGCGCACAACAGCAGTTTTTGCAAATTTCAATAAAAAGCAAAGGCATGTCAATTGGCCCTCAAAATACCATCTAAAAAATAATGACCCAGGATGCCCCTACGAAAAAACGGTAGAGTCCAGTTAGTCATGTGGCCAAAAAATACGCTTTTCTACCCCCCAAAACAAACAGCTTTTGGGATGATTCTTGAGAATAGGATGACAGTAGATGAACCATGATCATAACTTAATAACATATCAAAACGATGATTCTTTATTACAGTACAGTTCATTGTATTATGTATCATTAATATATCATCAATTAATTTTTATGATTAGAAGACTAATTATTGACTGTAGACCATACACTAGAATCATCTATAATGAACTATAGCTTTATCACTTTGATTATAGTCATAAATTAGTATAAAAACCACTGGTTAACATACATATATAGTCATTATCATGAAGTATCACACTATAATCCATCATCAATATATATATATACATATAATCCATTATAATCCATTATAATCGATTGTAATCCATTGTAATCCATTATAATCCATTATAATCCATTATAATCCATCATAATCCGTTATAATCGATTGTAATCCATTATAATCCATTATAATCCATTATAATCCATTATAATCCATTATAATTCATTATAATCCATGATAATTCATTATAATCCATTATAATCCATTATAATCCATTATAATTCATTATAATCCATTATAATCCATTATATTCCATTGTAATCCATTATTATGCCATTATAATCATCCACATATGTATATATATATATATAGATAGATAGATTAGATATAGTCACAATGAACACCATGATTTTTTCACCATTTCGGAGTTCTCCATATTGCGGTCCCCTTGCCACAGGCCAGGAACGTGGAGCAGGGGAAGCCCAGAGATTTCTTGACATTTGGAGCGGTGGGCGGTGAAAACATGGTGGTCTTAGGTGATCTTCAGCAGTGAGTTAACCAATGAATCATGGATACTCACTTTGGTGGTTTCACATTTTTTGAAACCTATAAAAGTGAATTTATAGAAGCAGAGTTTGAGCATGAAATACGGTTTCACATTTTGTCATCTTGAAATAGGAGACAAATATCAAGGATATCTACATGAATATGACAATTAGGATATTATGGGATTAATCCATATTTGATGGGGATACGAACGGATCTCGCAAAATAGTCATGGCGTATCGAGAATCTAGTGCTGTACCAATCATTATCAATATATTGATATGTCATAAAATTGGGGTCATAGATGTCCTTTTCCCATTGGTTGGTTGATTAATAGAGGGTTTGAACAACCCCCTTTAACAACAGCTTTGATTGATGATAGATTGCTTTTCCCAGCTCGCGGCCCCTCTATTTTTACCAAAAGAACATGATTGTCATAATAGTTATATAATTCATCCCATTATTGATGATTATCCCATTATATAAATATATATACCAGGGATATATCCCATTATGATATACCAGGGAATCATTGATGATATATCCAGATATATCCCATTATAATCCCATTATTATATACCCAGATATACATTATTGATGTATTATCCCATTATGATATACCAGGACCTCAGGATATATCTGCCATAGTTGCCATCGTGAAATTGGCGATGTTTGGATCATCCCAGGCTGGGCAAAGCCACGCGGAACGCTGCTCGGTTTTTGTCCACGGCTGCGAGGGGAATAAGGGAGTCGAATGGGAAGTGATCGGTAAATGGAGGTATAACCAGCACAAATCCTGGAATCATATGGAACTATGATGAAGAATGGGGATATTTTTGTAGTTATAAGTAGTTACAACAGTAGTGTCGTCATAACCATTCCATTTATAAATTATAATGATCTATTACTGTCGATAGGTATGGCCAATCTCTTGTGGATGTTATACACCAACAGTAGTGTCATCATCCATGAGAATAATTAAATGGATTAGTGGCATGTGTTTGATGGGTGTACAAAATGATAACAACCATGAATAATCATTTGATCAATATTGGTTTACATATCATGTGTAGATGGTGAATCAGGATTAAAATTGTGGGATTTCAACAATGATGGGATAGTTCATGATTTATGGAATTGTATGGCTACCCTCTGGTAAACTAACACAACTATGGAAAATCATCATTTTTAATGGGCAAATCAACTATTTCTATGGCCCATTTTCAAGTTCGCAAACTGTAAACGTTTACCAGAGGCTAACTATTCGCAAATCTGATGGTTTACCATGGTTTACCACCTCTGGGGACTTGGTGTTTCTATAGATGATGAACACATTAAAGCATCCATCGGGGCTTCCTCAGCTGCTACCTTTGATTACCGGAGGGTAACCCCACAGTTCACCAGGTGAGGCTATTGAAAAATCACCACTTGGGATGGCTTGAAAGCTCCAAGATGGTGGCTAGGAATGGCACCCTGCAACAACTTCACCAGAACCTCAACACACACACACAATAATATGTAATATATATATACACATGTCTATACACATTAGTATGATATATTGTATATATATATGTATTATGATTATTATGTCTTGACATATATATATATACAGACTGATGCAATTATATACATATATTATATATATACATATTATAGACACACATTGATGCATACACATTACCTTTCATGATGATTTGGCCATCAGGTGAAGGCTGGCGAAGCTGGGTGAAGTTGCCATTGCCGTTCCCACATCGTTAGCTTACCCTAGGGCCCAGGGCCTAGGGTACGTAATTACCAACAGATGTCACCAAAATCTGGCTGTGGATTTACACAACAAACATTGAGAATTTTATGGCACAAAAATGGTTCTAAACAACCAAAATGGGGATTTTATGGGGTATAACGAATCAGAACCAATGAACCCATTTTGAATATCTGGGGATTAAAGGTAATAATCGGCAATTTAAGCAACGATAGGAATGGGAGAGTGGATGTAGTCGATGGAATGGGACCCAACTTCGCAATTTCACCATCAAAAATGCGGGAGAGTATCAACAAATGGGATTGATGATAAACTGGATGAAGTAGAACGATCTCAGGACCTCACTGTAATGATTAGTAAGGGACGGCGTCCCCAGAAAGGATTCCACTTTGGGGATTCTGTCGGGGATTCCGTCGGTGGTTTGGAATCCCCGGATTTCATCATCAGAATTCGCACCCAAACCACCAACAACACCATTGATTGTGATATTTCCAAAATTATTAATATATATCACTGGGGTTATATATATAAATCACTGTATATAAATAGATTTACACACCAACTACTCAACAGATCGTGGAGAAGCCGTGCCCTGGCAACGCTGGCAACTTTGAAGCGTCGGAACCCAAAGGCGGAGTCGGCCAAAACACGGAGTGTGCTGCAGAGCCTTGCGGAGCGCATGGCAGTGAGATGGAACCTGGTAGTCCATCCATGTTCATCCCACTTAGTGAGTTACCCCAACTATAAGTAGGGTATGCATAGGGCCTATGGCTTGGGGTGAACTAAGCCGCAAACACTGTGAACTCCTAACCGGGGACCCTTAACATCCCGGATACACAAGCCAAACGCGGACTTAAAAAGCACCAGTTACGTTAGTTTAACTTTGAAACCTATACCTGGGAAATTCTCAAATCGTCTAGAAGAAACGCTTGGAACCCAGACCCAGATATGGACGGCCATTTATTCAGCAAGGGATTTCAGAAAACTCCTCAAAGCGTGGTGCTTTTTGAGTGTGTTTTAAACAAGGGCGCTTGGACACACCCAAATTTGATTTGATTTGAGTTCCCTCAGGAACTGGGGTTCCTACACAGACACAGGCACCGATATTTCATCACAACGATAGTTTCATTGATTGGTTTCCATGTACGATAGCCAGAGAGTCAATCTTCGATGCCAAAGTTACTCTTGGGAATGCTGAATCCGACGATTGGTCGGATAGATTAGAAACCGATCCCTTGGTCAAATACGTTGTGGTGGGTGTGTTTGGCGTTCATTTCTTTGGGTGTAACAATCCTTTCAGCGTAAAATCATATGCACATATGTAATCATATACAATCATATAGCGAGAGAGAGAGAGAGAGAGACAGAGAAAGAACGCATGAACACACGTTTGGATTCAGTGTTGTTTTTTTTTAACAATATAATACAACTGGTTGGGTGGTTTGGAACATTTTTTATTTTCCATAATATATGGGATAATCCTTCCCATTGACTTTCATATTTTTCAAGATGGTTAAAACCACCAACCAGATCATTATTAACCATCATTAACCATAGAATAACAATTCACCATATATTAACCATTATTAACCATTATTAACCATTATTAACCATTATTAACCATACACTACCCATTAAATTCTGGACTGGTCCATTGTCTGGACCTGGATCCATGGGACAACCATGATGTCGCCCCTTCGGCCCAAGTCCATGCATCATGAGAAAAAATGGTGCTTAACAAAATTCCAACATTGGTTCAACATATTTGTACATCTCGGAATGAAGAAACACATGTTAATACCCGAAAGAAATTGCACAGCTGTTATTTGTGTGTTGTCATGAGCAACTCCTGGACCACTTTGGCCAGCCCAAGTCGTTTTTCCGAAAGGCTTTGTCCACGCTTGGTCGTCATTATCTTGTTTGCGGAAACCCAATCCACGGACCCCGATTCAAATTTCTTGCGGTAGTTTGAAGCCAACAACCAGCCAAAATTTCCAAAACTGTCAACTGTCAACTGGAGCCAACCGCAACTATGGAACAATGAACCATGGGTTGTGGCAGCAGTGCAACAGCCGGAGACCCAGCAGAAAGACCTCGGGTGTTGCATCTACCATGAGGGTTTGATTGATAATTGGGTACCCAAAAGGTACACCACAGAAATTGATGACTTTTTATGACTTTCCATCATTTTCACCATTCCAAAAGCATTGTATTCAGGGTAGCATTTTGAGCCCCAATGAAGGCCACCTGACCCTGACCTTGGTCACACAGCCTTAGATTTGTTCATTGCTGTTGTTATATGTCATCCCTACAAATTGCTTCTGCATACCAGATAACGTCTTACTGGTATCTAGCCTTATTTTGTTTGCTTGAACTCTTCGTGATGTTGTCCTAGTGATCTTTTGTTTATACCATTTTATACCCAATGTTTATTGATTTTAAAATCCTTGTGTACATCCCGTGTTGTTTGGCACCGCATCAATTTTCGCAGGTGATCTGTGCTTGTTTTTGTAGGATCATGAAGCATCCCTTTTTACCACTTCAGAATACCCTCCGGATATTTTCCATGACATAGCTGTGGAAACTCACCATTCTTAAAAGGTAAAAGTCATCACAAATCATCTATAGAACTCTATACACGGGCCATTTTCAATATAGGTATGTATAATTAGCAGAGGGTATCTCTGAAAGATAGTTTCCAGGTCCAGTCCCTAAATGTTTGGTCCCATTTTTGCGTATGAGATTTCAGGCTGCCGGCGGAACAGAGAGGTGTGGAGCTTCAGACTACTGACCGTTTCGGGTTCTGAATTATTGTGACCTGGTTTGATGCTATGGGAAATTCTAAAATGAAAAGTTACTGTACCCCTTAATTGATCAAATACGGTGATGGAAAATCTGGAGAACCGATTCATTTGATTTCATTGTAAACATGGCTGGCTGGGAATGTTCCAGTTGTTCAATCGGAATGCATCCACATCAACGCTCTAATTAATCACCAATCACCAGCTGTACGCAGCAATGAAACTTACTTTTGCAAGCCATTGTATAGAATATGATGTATGAATATGTTATTTGATTAAAAAAATCCCAGGCTAAATCATGGTATGCTTTGTGCTAACGCCAGGAAAGACGTTGGCCCCAACAACGACCACGATGTGGCCGACAAGTAGCGTATCAGCACGATGTGTCAGGGGTTCTCCCAAAGTGTTGTTCTACTTGGGGGTGATAGCACTGGGAAAAATGGCATTTATGGAAGTAATAATCATGTTCAGATAGTAAATAACCATAAACATGTTATTGTTATTATTCCATAACCATGATGATTGAAGTTTGTATAAGTTTTCCATCTTGGATCATTTTGGACTACAGCAACCACCTAGTTCAGAGAGTTATTAGATGTTATTAGATGTTATTAGTGGTGGTTGCAAGGGCAGATTACGACCTGGTCGGCCATTTGACGGAGCGACGACCCCAATACGTTCGGTGGTGCCCCTGCTTACGGAATCGCTCACAACTCCAAAAACTGTTGGGTTTATGATACATACATCATCAGATATCAAACTAGTGAGTGGGGGTTATTTGCACCAACAAACATCACCCTTTGGCACCATGGGGCACCACATTGTAACTGGTTCGTTATATCCCCCATAAAAATCCATTGGCACCCCAGCTATTGGAGTTCTTCGCACCAACTTAGCTATCGCAAGATAATCGAAGGGACATGAACTGACCTGCTGTATCTTGTACAAGGGAACATGACCTGCTGCATTGTGTAGGGATGCACTGAAACTTAAAGATATACACAACTTGATTGGCAAATTGTATCTATGATTATATTAGATATATGTATGTATATGTATATGTACATGTATATGTATATGTACATGTATATGTACATGTATATGTATGTATATATATATATATGTGCATAAATCCCATGAAATACCCATCATATCCACTGTTGCTGAAGCTCAGCCCCTTTTTGTTTCACTTCCGCGGCCCCACAGCTCCAGACATTCGGCCCCCAGCGGCCCTGATCTTCAGGGAGCAGCGGCGCAGGGGGCACTCAGATTTTTGGGAAATCTGGTGGGAAAAAATGGGTATGGGTCAATACCTATAGATACATTTTAGTGGGATGAACATCCATTTACCAGCTATTTTGGGGTTCACTAGGTACCAGGGTTTTGACCCATCCCCAAATCACTGGAGACAAATGGTGAAATCTGCACAGAAGTTGGAATATCAGAAGACACATAGAACACCACCGGCAAAAAATGATGATTTCACCAATACACACAGGACTTTCCACAGTCAGAAGATGTCAAGAAAAATATGACTTAACAACCAGAGGCAGATTTTGGACTTGGAGTATCAACCATCACAGAGGTTGGACTTGAAGTATCAACCATATAATTTGTTGCGTTTCCAAACGTTAATGCTCACCCTGGCCCAAACAAAGGCCATGCCCAAATCCACAGAGCAGGGCTGCGACGACCATGTTACTCAAGTTGAATCCCACATGAAAACATGATCACAGTATCTTCATAATTTATTGGTGCACAATCTTAACTTTTGCTGGCTATATCCCCAAGTCTGCTTGTAAAATCACAAGTTCTGTTGGCTTCAATCCACACTTTGCCCTTTGGACCTGCTTCGGGACCTCTGCAGGTCCAAGTCTGAAAATGCCGAGGATGGGAGCGGACACAGGGAACCAGTTGGGTTTCCCTGTTGAGGCAGACCTCATTCGTTGCTGGGAAACTCCCTTTCGTTGCTGCTGAAATCCAGTATGTTTATCAGATGACTATCCCGCTTGCTATCAGCTAACTCCCTTTTTTTGTGCTTCAACGACCATTGTTGGTGAAGTGATGTCCAGATTTTATGGGTAAAAAACATGGAAAGATATGGGTATGGATCAATACCTATACATACCATTTTTAGGGGGATGAACATCCATTTACCAGCTATTTTGATGTTCACCAGGGGGATAGGGTTTTGACCCATCCCCATATGAACAAGTCACATTCTTTTTTTGCCCAGGAGCCTTCGGTTGAACCTATAGGTGTCATCGAAGCCCCCGGCCACGAGGGCAAGGTGCCGTGGATCGGCGGTGCCGATGGCGGTGCACCATGCTGTGGCTTCAGATCAAAAGAATGTAGGAAACCATTGGATTTTGAGTTTGTTTTTCATGAATTTATCTTGGTTTTCGATTGCTATTCTAATGGTTTTGAACCATTTTCACCATCGAAATCATGGTTTTATATGATTGTTCTTGATGTTGAATGGAACAAAACCTGGTTATTTTCAGGCTTGTTTCTTGGTCCTAAACATTTTCTTGGACGAAGATCTATGTTTGTTGCGACCCAGAAGCCTTGACACCTTGGTGACACCACACCACAATGGCAGATCCTGGATGTTCATGCCATAATCGCAACTCCATGGTCCCAAATGATACAGTATCGGTTGGTAATAACAATACCAACTACCAATGTATACATGGGATGTATCAAATGTATCATTGGGACCATGGTAATTGAAATGTCATAAGTCACAAGTATTAATTGGGTGACTGGCTCCAAATGTTGTTGTTTCGGAAATTCGATGGTTACCATATTCTAAAACACCACCAACTTTGTCAGTCCATTCGCAGTTTCACAACGCCAGTGTGGATTCTTAGATGAATTTAAGGGTGATTGTCGACGTGACTCCCACTTTCAATCGTGGAATGTATATATATTATATATATATATATATTATATTCATATATCTAGAATCTAGAATATTATTAGTTATTCCTTATATATCCTTATATACTATTATACATATAACGTACTATAGTTCGTATCATACTTCGATCTAGATAGCATTAATATTATCAATGGCTATGCTAAAAATGATTTGCATATTTTAAAGTAATAAAACATAATAGTACAATTAGTTCTAGAATTGATTGGTGATTATTTATATCATAGTTGTTCAACAATTGTTGAGTATTGGTAATTATTCAATATTTGGTGACTAATAATTATATACAAAAATGCGTGACTATTGGTATTATTTACTACATAGCATTGCCCGAGTATACCTATTTCATTGCCATTAGTATCAACAATGTTAATACCTATAGTTGTCACTGTAAAATATAGTGACAATAGTTGCCATTGTATGTATACCACTGGGATGCTACCAAGTGACAATAGTGGCAATAGTTGCCATTGCCATTTTCCTATAGTAACTATATACTAGCAATAATTACCATTGTATGGTTAGTATACCAACAATAGTCCTGTCATTGGTAGTAACTATACCAACAATAGTTATCACTGTAACATATAGAATGTATATACCAACATTAACGCTTGGAAACCACTGTTACTTATGTATTTCTTCCACTGTTATCAACCGTTATACAATGTATATTCCAACTGTATATTCCAACTGTATATTCCAACTATATATTCCAACTGTATATACCACGGTTCCAAATGTATATTCCAACTGTAAAACCACTGCAAAAAAACCACTTATGTATATATATATACCACTGTTACTTATAATATTATAATATACCAGTACCAATAATATTTCAGTATTTATAGATTTACCAATATACCACTATTATAATAATATTATAGATACTTATATTTCATTGCCAATGTGTCCCTCAGGATGTGCTGGCCACCAACGTCTCGGAGCCCACCGGCGAGGATGAGAGGTGCGCTGACCATGGGCCGAAACAATGGTGTAGGCCGGCATATATGTATATATACATTATATCTCAGATATATACATTATATCTCAGATATATATATATATATATGTATGACATAGTTTGATATATAAGATATATATGTTTAAACATCTTACTATATTTATAGATATGACCTATATACGATGGATACATATACATATATATATAATATGCATGTATGACCAGCAGTAATTAGATGACATCGTTGTTTGTCGTCCGTTTGAAAATGGGCTGTACGCTGAAAACTGTATATGTCCATTGTGATATGGAAAATGATGATTAAACAGTGGATTTTGGATACCCAATTTTCAGACAAAACCATGTACACCAATTACATTCAAATTATTGTACTTTCCTGATCTTGCACGGGGATTGAGTGATACACAGTTGATTGGGATCTCCAATAAATAAAATTCAATATATTTTCAATGTGGTCTTTGGGGAGATTGGTCATGGTTTTGTCTACTTGAGGAAAATTGACATCCTTTGTTTCGCTCGTTTTACACTTCCACCGTTGTCCTTCATGTGGTACCCAGGCAATCCAACGGTGTTTTTCTTAATCAAAGCAGGCCAGCTTCATAATGTAATTCCAGCAGGCTTGGGTTACCCTGTCCCTTGAGAAAGTGCCATCTGGCTGATAACGTTCTATTGCACTTGCACACACTAAAAGTTCGACACACAAACTTGATGCTACGATTAATATTTTTTACTTCAACTTGATGCTATGCTTCAACTACACACTACTCTCACTTTCACTTGACATGTTCTCTCACATCCTTGTGCTGTTGGGCAAACTGTGCTGTAGCAGGGAAGGAGGTTAGACGTGGAAAAAGAACGTTGAATTTGTAAGCAGCAGCGAAGCTGTCTCAAATGGTATTTGCAAGGGATACCCATCCACAAGGTCTTTTGGGGGTCGTGAACGCAAAAACGGATTTTGCATATTTTGCTGAGACGAAAGTTTCAAACCTTGCGGAACAAGTGACGGCCCTTACAGTACCAACCGGGGATTTGCAAATGCTGTAAGATGAATGCACAGCAACACACAGCATTCCAGCAAGATGGCTAATTAATAGACGCCAGCATATTTCTGGACTTTTTGGTTTGGTTCAAAGTCCCTACGACTAACAGCACAAAGTGGTGCCCCTTAGTTATGTTTGTTGGCACAAATAACCCCCATTAACATCCACTAAACTGGCTCAATATACGTACCATCCATTCAACAATTCTCGGAATTATAAACCAACATAGCTAAAGAACTGGAACACCACCTTGCATGGGGTTGTTTGAAGATGTTTGAACGTAGGGTATTATGTTTTTTTCCCATGGTTGATCATGATGTTTCCTGTTGGCATTGTTTTTATGATGGTCCGCTTGGTGGTTTGGAACATGTTTTATTTTCCATTCAGTTGGGAATTTCATCATCCCAACTGACGAACTCCATCATTTTTCAGAGGGGTGGCGAAAAACCACCAACCACTGGTATATCGTTAAATTCTATCATCCCATCATATCCATCATTCATCACTACTATTCCGTTGAATTTCCTTATCGTTTGCTGGTGAACTCCACCCATCAATGATGACCCCGAGCACCAGACCGTTTTTGTTACCCAGTCATCCCTTGTGAAAAATGGTGAACTCGCCATATTTTGATCAACGAAGATTTTGTGTTGCTTAAAATCCACTTAAAATCCAAACGATATCTCCAATTGTTGATGGTTAAACCTGGTTAAACCATGTTAAACCTTCATTTTTGCCGCTCAAACCTCTATTTTTGCTGCACAAAAATCCTCATTGAGCTGCTGAAAAACCTTCATTTCTGGTTACACTTGCTGAAACTTCCATTCTTGCAACTTATCATCATGTTTCTGTTTTTTTTTTTACCCTGTTAACCCTCCATTTCTGTTGGTGAAACCATGGTTTTTTTCGGGTGAAAGCAGCAGTGCCCTAGCCGAGGTCCACGGTCGGCGCGGAGAAGCTGCAGGTGACGACAGATGTTTATAATTTGATATAAATTGTCTATTGTATATATACAATATATATATATATATTAAGACATTGAAATCTATATCTGTACAGAATATATATATAGTTACATATGCGTTGGCTAACCCTGAAGACCTAGCTGCTTTTAGGAGGCATGATGCTCAGAAGGCCTCATGCAAATATGGCATCATAGGCGGAGACTACTGTTTTGAACAGATACCGCATCTTTGAGTGAAAACTGATTCCCTGACAGAAAGCAGCAATTTTCAAAGAATACTGCACACTTGAATGACATTTTTGTTTTATCTGGAAAAAAACCCTTCAGAAGAGATACAACGTAAGTTGCAAGAAGAATGTTTTTTGAAAGAAATACCATGCATTCTAAATGAGTGCGCAGTATTTTTGCAAGGACAATTGATACTAGAAAGCGGAATAAATTCTTTGCTTAAGAAGGACACTATACTTTTTTGTTGAAATGACACATTTTTTGTAGAAATGAAGAAATGTTCAATAAAACCCATATGTGAAGTTAAACGTTTTTGTGTGGAAAGAAAAGCGCCGTTTTCAAAACGGCTATATATAAATTGTTGAGATGCCGTGGCATACACAGGATTGAACCCAACCATATCCCACACACACCATATCTCACCACGCTTATTGTAGATTTACACACAATGTCTTGGAAAACGGGTATGGTTTGTTTTCAGGTTTACCACATAAACCAACATAAACACGAATGTATACGAATGTAGCCTGCAGGCAGAAGGCGATGTATTAATGTTTTCAGTTCAGCATGAACAAACCCTTTTGAAAAATGCAGAGCTTGATATAACTAATATATATATATATAATACAGATACATCATATATGTATTATATATATAGTATACAGTAGATCCCCAATGACATTCGCATTTTTTTCAGGGGTGGCTCAACCACCAGCCGGAATAGTGGGTGGACAATGACTAGAAAAAACGCTGTCATAGTTATATGATGTGGGTATATGTGGGTAATATTCCCACTTGGATTAAAGGTTTATATGAATATACTCATACATATATTATGCGATGGTGATGTTTGTTGCTTTCCAACAAGACATACAGAGAATATCAATATTGTTTGACGCGCAACAACATGCCAAACAACCAGCAAATACATTGATATTTCACACCACTGAACCTGGTTTAGTCCACCAATATCAATCGTGCAAGTTTTGTTACCCTCTGGTTATGTCAAAATAGCTATTGAAAATGACCATTAATAGTGGATTTTCCCATTAAAAATTGTGATTTTCAATAGCTATGTTAAATTACCAGAGGGTAGTTGGTTTATAAACCCACTAAGTAAATAGTTACATCCCCCTAGTCAACCCTAGTCAACCCATCAAGTGAACTGTGCGTCAACTTCGACGCGCTTGCGTTCCTCAGGTGCCAACTCCAATCAGCCCGCTGAGACCCTCCAGTTGGACAGCACAGGGCGAGCAAATGCGGGTTTTTCCCTGTGGAAAAAAGGGATTTCACCGCCATTGGGTTTTAAGATCGTTTTTACCACCAAACATCGACAAACTTGCTGGTTTTACCCTCTGGTAAATAAACATAGCTATGGAAAATCACAATTTTTAATGGGAAAATCCACTATAAATCACCATTTTCAATAGCTACGTTAAATTACCAGAGGGTAATTTTCGAAACATCGTCACTTGCCGACCCAGGAATCTTTCGTTCGTGTGTGGGGAACCATCTCTACGTTCCAATTGGGGGTCATGCTGCCCCCACCCTCCGCGGCCGTCATGGGTAGTAAAGACCTGTCAACATGTTTTTGAAGTGAGGCCCCCCAGTTATAAGTTGGCTATTTCAAAAGCCATTAACTAGCACTAACTATCATTAACTATAGTTATATTCCCCATAAATCATCAGAAATCATGTTGGGGCCCGGGGCCCACCATTACGGAACCACCAAATGACATGGCCATTCGATGGTGCAGTCCTTTTACAACCTCCGAGAGGTCACGTCAACTAACATGTTGGTTGCATATTGTTTCACACCGGTTTACTTTCCAAAAAGGATGATCAAAATTGTTCACTTCCAACAATCAGCCAACCGATTTATCATATACAGTATATATATTTTTGGCTGACTGCACATGGGAACGATCACTCGTTGCGGCAGCTCGCAGCAAATTCTGGTCTTTGCCTCTGCACCCTACCCTCCAGCATAGTCAGCACCGATTTTGGTGCCCATGGCTGTGCAGGTCATGTGTCTGCAACGCTCAACAAAATCTGCTGGTAGGGTAGGTGCCTTCACCACCTCTTCGGGTGGTGGAAAATGTGAGAAAAATCCCTCTGCTAACGCTTTACATAAAGCAGGAGGATACTCCTTCAGTTTCGCTGTTCGAAACTGGCCTTTCTCGTCGACGCCAATGGTTTGGGCTCGTGGAAGGTGGGCACATACCGCATTGGCTCGAAGGAACTTCGGCAGGTCAGGAAGATTCAAAGACAGCAAGCCCGTGCGCTTGGCGCTATCTGCTCCCAGTAATCCCTGCGCAAATTCATAATGGCGAAACCCTGGCAAAGTGGCAATCATTTGGACAATGGGCAGCCGCCAAATGCTCGCTGCTTGATCATCGGCTGGTTCGGCCGGATGCTCCAAAGCCCCACAGCTCTCCACGGTGGACAGGACTACCATGGCCTTGAGGCTGAAGCCAAGGAGTAGATGTCCATCCATGAGCTGTCGTTTCTCCTTAAGAGAGGCCGAATGGAAGCCCCACAGTGCTGATGCCGTGCGAAGGACTCGAGGACCTCGTCTGTGCGAGCCAGCCACATGCTTCCCTCGCGCCACGGACCATGTGCAACAGGGGGGCCCGCTGAGGAACCCGATCACGAAGCCAGCACGCATCGACTCAAGCCAGAAGCTTTGTGTCTTCTGATTGCCAATGTCGCCCCATGTAGAATCTATTACGATATCAAGGGAAACTACATAAAAACCTTCAAATTTCTGCTGGCGACCCAGAGCATCAAGGAACCACTGGAAATCCCCTGGCCTTCTTCGACCCGAGTAGGCATGAAGGACTACTCGTTCTCGAAAGACTGGTCGCGGGCAGGTTAAGGTTGGTCTCCACGGTGATGGGGCAGTGGCCAAGTCGCAGCACCATTGCTCATAAAGATCCAGGTTATGGAGATGCTCTGTGCCTGCAGTCTCATACCGGATCTCAGTGAGAAATCCCCATGCCGAGGGCTCCAAAAGAAACTCCAGCGCTGATAGTGCAGTAGCCCGTGGTGTCGCAGCATCATACTCCTCTAACAAGGAAATCGCTTGATGCACATGTCGGAGGGTGAGCTGCGTTTGCGTCCAACTGATGTCATACGTCTGGATGCATGTTCTCATCCGGTGTTGCAAATCACCTGTCACAAGTATAGGAGAGTCCATGATCAGCAGAATGAGTTGCTCAAATAGGTGAACATGATGTAGGTCAATTTCACCTGGAGGTTTCTGGAATGTTCGTGGACCTGCTGCTTGTTGAACAGGGAGTAGATCATCATGTTGAGCTTTCAGAATGGCATTGTCTCTGGAGCCAATACCTGGCATGATCGGGGTCTGCGTTGCCCTCGTGCATAGTTGTGCTCGGCATTGATCCGACCGACGAAGATGTGCCTGTAATTTATCAAATGAATGATATTCTTTAAGACATACTTCACAGCCAGTGTGGGTGATCCAATGGCGTTCTCGCGCACAAATACCATGGACTTTGAAGAGATGTGCTCCCTCACCAGCTTTTGACTTGCATCGAATGCCGCACGACATGCAACCATAGTAGCCAGTCTGATGTTCAATTGGAATATTTGGTCGTACTGGTGCAAATTGAAGCGGTCCCCAGTGCGCCAGGTGTCCAAGAATGTCATGATGAAGGCGACGTAGAAGCATGTCATCTTGTCGATGGAGCTGTGACAATTGAAGTCCACGTTGAAGCAAAGTCTTCCAGTAACTACGATGGTAGCGGAGCACATATTCCCAAGCAGGGAAATGTTCCTCTGGATTGCGCAATTTGGTGGTGTGCTCAACGAGACGCCAGAGCCATTGTAGATCCTCTTTGATCTGTTGGATCCATTGTGTATCCGCTCGGATGAGGGCCCAGGGCGTGACCTCGTCACAGCGGTAGAGCAGTCCAACATAGCGCAGCCTTGATATCCGGAGAAGATCTTCTGGAGCTGGTAGTTGGGTCTGCACAAGGATTTCATCATCTTGAATGGCACTGTCTGGTGCGCACTTCAACAACCTTCTGTAAAGACGAAGGATAGCTCCATTGAAGTAGGTTTTGGATCTGACATCGTCCAGAATCCAAGATTCCGTTCCATAGGATATCTTGCTGGTCACGAGGGTCATGAAAAGTTGGGTTCTTTTGTCGGCCGAAAGGGCCCGGTTCTGAAAGAGCAATTTTCGATGGAGATTGAATGCGTTGTTGCCAATGGCAATGCGTCTTCTCATCTCTTTGCGAGATGTGCCGGTGTGGTGTGTCAGGCCACCAAGATGGGTGTAGTCGCCCACGACAGAAATGTAGTGGGTGCCGTACTCAGTCAGGATCATCATCCTCTGGCCTTGTTGTGGACTGAAGTATTTCTGCTTGAGTGCCCTTGAACCTTGTCCTCTGAAGGATAGGAGTATCTCTGTCTTCCCTTTCTGGAGATTGGGAGTGACTCCATGATTCATGCACGTCTCCAGCAGCACACTCGCAGCCAGTCCTGCTTTATGTTCTACTCCATGGGCTGTGGTGGACGTCACTGTTATACAGAGGTCATCCATCCAGGTTGGCCCCAAAATGGAGTGCTGATGCATGGGCCCTGCATGAAGGTCCGGGAAGAGGCCAGGTGTACTCACATCATTGATGGTCTCCAAGATGTCAAGGTCCTGCATCTTCTGTTCGACCGTAGTCAGCAAACGGGCGAACATGTACCCAAACACCACGTCCGCAAAAGGGTCGCCCGGTCGAGTGCCTACCTTAGTGTGGGTGGCATCAGTCTGGCCATGTACTCGAAAATGTGTGTTGGTATGTATATAGCGCTTGTAGTGCTCTCGAAAGGTGTGGTGGAAGTCCAGCCATTTCCGTTGCTGCGGGCAACTGAAGGAGTTGATGTAGGTCACTGACTGCATCTGTGGGAAGCCTC